CAGAGTTCTTCGATACACTGCTACAGTTCATTCTTGGCCGTTCCATAGGTTTTCAGTCTTTCGGTTGAGCGAGTAGTAACTCTTTCACCCTCTTTTCCGAAGTTATACCGAACACATATCGAAGCTTTCACAGCCGTGACTTATCAGTCTGTAGAATCAGTGGTTTTACACCAAAGCTTACATGTATCTGTCGAGAAGCGTGAGTCTTGAGGTAGTTCGTCTCAGAAAGCCCATTATCTGCTTGTACGTGGGATCGCAGTTTTTCTGTCGTGGTCCAACGCTCATAACCATAAGCATTGCAGTTAAATCAACTTTGTCAGATTTACACAGACGACTTCTTCAGGTGCAGCATTTCCTTAAGCACAACTGTTATGGCTAATTCGCCAAGATACATACATGTATACATACTCCCATGCATACATACCATTTCAGTTCGCCAGTCGAACTCTTTCTCCAATTTTCCACCAGCGATAAACATGACACAGAGGAACTTGAACTTCTCCAGCTGTTCCACTGCTTCTCCGATTATCTGCAAAGCATAAAGGACAGGAGAACGAAAAAGCATTAGGATTTTCGTTTTTAACATATTCACCATGCTTACCGGCCGTATCGCATTCATCTGGTTGCAGCAAGAGGTAAACGTTTTACTTTCTAATATGAAAATAGTGGCTGTTTTGTTTAAACGGCTAAAAGTTAATATAAGTTATGAGAAAGAAAACTTGTGAAACAGGTGTGATTTTGAGTTATTTATCTGATAGATGAAACCAATAAAAGGATAACCTAAAACTGCTATCCGTCCAATTTAAAGGAATGATTAGATGTGGAAATGAATGAAGAATAGGGTCAGATTTTCTGCATTCGACAAAAGGTGGCAGCTAGACTTAAGCTTGTGAAACAGAGTTCTTACTGACCTAAAATGTCGTTCAATTCAACGAAACTTAGCAAATCACTTACACATGACATCACCCTGCCAGTTTGTGGTTCGACGCAAAGTAGCTGCAGCAAACACATATCTACAAGAACCAAATACCAGTTTGATGAAGATTCATGAGATACAGACCGAAATGCCGGTAGTAGGCTATCACTCGATAGTAGAAAATTAGGCGGTTCTATTCTGCTTTTAGCAAATTCTTTTCTTTAAATAGGATGTTGCTTTGGTAAGGGCTGTAGCAAAAGCAAAGCTAAATTTGGCGGTGGACAATACTGCTAGAATCAAGAAAATTCCGTCGAAATTGAGTTAACATGCCACGCTGTTAAATGTTTCTTTTTTAATGTTATTGTGTGGTAACTTTAACGCAGTTTTAATTGATTCATTGAAAGCGATTTCAATTTCGTTTTCTCACAGCACCTTAACAATTTTCGGTGTAAATCATTGTACCACGACCCGACAGGTGAAGCTGCCATGGAAGATGAATGAATGAATGAACACAACTCATTGTATCCAGCAGGAAATCACATTATAAATTGTTCTGATAATCTAAAATTAATCGTCACAGATTCACGAACGTATTTGAAATTCATGCATGTATTAACTTGTGCCAATTAAAGGGCGTCATTGTGGCCGACTAGCGGAGCCTCTGCTCATAGCCTCTGTGAGTAATCGTCTTTGGATCGAATATCGAGGAATGAGCGATGATTGGCCAAAAAAGAATGGTTTCAAAGATAAGAAAAAACGCAGGGGCTATTCGGCCTCTTACGAAAGTAAGTTTTCGTTAATCACTTCATAATCAGTAACTTACATTCTCAGCTTATGTTAACAAATATACCCAGCCAATATTTCTAGCTTTAGCGTATTTTTATCGTTTTCATCTGTGTGCATAAATTAATTGCAGACTGAAGCTTAATAGAATTTCATTTCATTTAGTTTTTCTGAAAAGTTACTGCGAAAATACCCGTTGTCTCAGTTTTCATTTAAAGTTTTCTGCGGATGGTAAAACGGTGGATCGTTTTAACGTAAATTGATATCTCATATTCTGTTCCTGAAAGTATATCATTACCGACTATACTTCATCTGTTGTTTCTACGCACTGAACTGATTTCTTGAAAATCAAGCTTTAGTTACCTTTAGCTAACCTTTCTGTCATCAGGAGAAATGTATCTAACGAAGTATTTGAAAAGGGAATGGTTTTTGAGCAAGAACGCTTAGTTGCGAAATTTATCTTTTCGCGTATCCTCACGAGATCATCATTATACTGATCGACTGATTAACTTAATTTTTAAAATAATTTGAAAACAATATTCTGCCTAAGACTGGTATTGGTGAAGTTAACATATTTCGTCTCTCACTACGTTTAATCCAGTTTTTGTTCAGAAAGGGAAATACGCCTATCCTTATGTGTCGAAAAGGGCGACCGTTTACTTGATACACTGTTGCATGAAGAATCATCGCTTTCGCATCTTAATCCGCGATTCATCCAACCGGGTGAAAAACATGTTTTTTGACATGATACTGTTAATGCGATTAATCGCAAGCGCGTTAAGGCTCAAACATTATCTTCGTTTTAACAATAAATGCTGGCTTTGATGAAAAAGTAAGGTTTATCACCGGCTTCACATTTCTGACGTCATAAACGTAATCAGTTTGTCGTCAACGGTTCGCGAATCAGCTATGGAGTGGTATAATTGACATGTATCAGTTCGAATATAAGTGGTGATTTTCACTCGCGTTTTAATGACAGTCAAAGCCGTAATCAGTTGATAATAGACTTTTATTAATACTTAAACTTTTGACGCGAGGCTTTTATCACCATAATTTCGAAACGATAATAAATGGTGGAAAGCCGAGAACAATTACGCTACAATATGCAGATGAGAACTTGTACAATATACAGTTCATGATAAGTTCGATTGGACCAGACTTCTGAACGTGTTCTGATTTCCAAGGGTTCAGATTAGGTGGGGCATAAATGAACATGTAAAAGCCTGATTCTAGCTACACTCAATTAAACTAGCTCCGCGTCGCCCCCACATTCGATTTGCTACTGGCCAGAGCTTGTTGCATTTGATGGGTCGGATCTTCGAGAATTTTCTTACAGAATAAGGTCTCCCTGACATTAACAAACGTCCTTCTTCACAGCTACTGCTGCGTTCTGATGATTTGGCAGGCCATCTGCTTTGGAAGCCTGATGCAGTGACTTAGAACGCTGTACTTGTTCACAGACAGGGTTCCAAAGAATACGAATACAGCATACATTAGAACGTAGGTTATACATGAGTTCCGTAATTGCCGAAGAAGCCAGATTGGCGCATCAGATTGCCGCAATCCTCTAAAGTACAAAAATACATTCCGCATCTTCGACACAGTATACTGAAAGTGGTCTGACCAATTTAAGCAGACATTGAGATATATTCCAAAATAGCGGAATGAGTTCCTCTTCTCCTAGATGGAACCATCGTTGGTGCAGTACACTGATGCTACGGCTTGCAGCAGATCAGAGAGTGTGTAATGGGGTATGAAAATGACCTCGAGAAATTTCCTAACGGTTAATCGCAACCTCTTCAAAGATCTCTTTCTTATATCTGTTATCTCCATAAAATAAATCGATAGGCCTGCTCTACTTGCCACTGTTGATATCTCTGCTTTGTTGTCTGCGTACATAGACGGATGCGAGGTAGGTAGGCTGACTTGACAGTCAGCTGTATAGAGACGGAGAAAGGCAGAGTGGAGACAACCTATCCTTGAGAGATACCTTGAAGGTGGATCAAACTCTGCATTGGCACAATGACCGAAATTCGCTTAAATCTCTGCGTTCAGGATATACTATATATTGATATGACTAGGAACTGCTGGGGTTCCATCTGGCTCCGAAATCAAAAGCTATTGTGATAAAAATTGATGCGATTAATATCAGGGCTGGGCAATGTCTCTGTAATTGGTTGTCGTAAGCACGTCTGTATCGGGAAACCCACAGTATAATTAACCAGTCCACAGTGCAAGGTCTGTACAGTGCTCTTCTCGCAAAAGGTTACCGAATCTTTATTGCATGTTCGAAAAAGAAACCCGCAGATCCACCTGCTATCGAGGCAGACTTCGAATTCCCTTGTCAAATTGGCACTTAGCCATCGGTGTAGCTATAAGCAAGATGAAAACTGCAACACAGTGTGAAGACGTTTATTACTATACGCTGATGTGTTAAGTTTTTCTCGAACAGTGTCACTATAGAAGGGTATGACTTTACAGCAATAAATATCGCTTCTTCTGAAAGGTGAAGACATTGTGTTCGAACCAAGTTTCCTCGGTCTTTATGACCAAAGTTCTGACGATATTGCTCTCAGCGTTTCCCTGTGTCATTGATTCAGTCTTTGCCTAGACCTTCATACCATACTGGCAGAGTTGTCTAACAGGTCTGATTCCAACACCGGAGGTGCAAGGTTTGATACCGCTCGTGGGCAATCTTTGCCTCAGCCTTATGCACGAACTACCTTGAGCAACGAGTGTACCACACGTTGCTCAGTCGGTAGATTGTCGAACTCAGAACCCATCATAGGTCCTTGTTCAAGCCCCGGTCAGGGTTACTCGACCTTCTTCCGTCCAAGGTTGATTAATAAGGACCTCTCTGTGGGGAGGAAACAGGAGACTATACACTGCGCTTGCTACATGGCTGTAAATTGCCTTTAAAATCAGACACTTCTGGCTGAATGCAAGGAAACGGAGGTCGGCACCGCACCACAGCTTCATGGCCCAATCATGAAAGTGAAGAAAGAACGACGACGACGAGTCTTTTTTCACACATGTTTTTCGTTCACAGTTGAGACGGAAAATCGTGAAGTGAAAAAAATTCTTCATGCTTTCGTTTGGCATTGATGCCAACGATGAATTCAGACCATTCCCTCTACGTTTCTTATTGGAAATATCTCTCACATGGGCAGGATTCCTTTAAGGACAACCCCTGAATATCACAACACATATCATCAGTTGGAGTGTTTTGGTAGTTCATACTGAAATACTTCAGGAAGACATCTTGTTTATCAAATGCATGAAGGACGCTTTAATTATCCGCTTCGACCAAGATGTCATCCATGAACAATGATTACAACACTGCAAGCGTTGGATCATCTTTTAACACCGTCTACCTATTTGCACTTTTGCTTAGATTTTACCCGGTGATTTAGTAAGGTAATGCCTCAGAATATATATATATATCTTCTGTGCTGCGGTAGTAAAGAGTACCACTTACAGTATTTGGAAGTTCAAAAGGGAGCACTGAAATGCCTAATACCAACTTATTTATGCAAATGAACTGCGCAGAAGTCAAAATAGCTCCCTTTCTTCAAATTATCTGGCCGTTGGTTTTAAAAGTTGTAAAACCACTTCGTGCACAAATCATTACTGACTTTCTGTGACTGTATAAAATGCAGTGATGACCGAAATTCGCTGTCCATTCGAAACAATCGACTTTAGTCGTTATCTTCGTATAACCATTATAATCAGTGCTGTGTAGGCTGATATCATTAAAATGTCGAGTTGCAGCCATCCACCGATTTGAGTTACTTTAAATCCTGAACAGCTTTCTGACCATATGCCTCTCTGTCCTAGTCAGTGTACGCAGTAGTATTTCCTCTGCTGAAGTCGAGTTCAAAGTTAAACAATGAAGAATATCAAGTTTATCCTGAACTGACTCTGTGTATTTAAGATAAGTATTAGCTAGAAACTTCCATGCGTCGACGTCTGACCTTTGACCTGCGCGCAACTAATCAGCTGAGACATCTTTCAACAAATTTGCATC